AATGCCTTAGAAAATAAAGTAAAAGTCAAGGCAATTAGATTACATCATTGAGGTCTGCGGGGATTTGTTTTGTCGTGTTCACGATCTTGGGCTGAAAAGTGTTTATTCAAGGTCCTGAGGTCGGGTGCAGGGTTCAGGGCTTCGACAGTTTAGAGGTGCGGCTTGTGACGTCGGTGTCGGGATGACTGATGCTGGGTTTTTGGGTTCGCGGCTGCTGGATTCAGGGTTGATGGTTCGCGTTTTCATGTACTGCAAGCAAGAGGGTTTTTGATGAAGACTCCAATTTCCAGAGTGCCGATGTGTTCTGAAGCTCTCGCGTCACGCTACACGGGCTCAAATGGCCAGACACGTGTTTAACCCATCTTACCCCTTGGCACCAGCCTTAAACACCGTGCTCGCAATAGTGGAGTGGGAAGCATATGGCCGTGGCCTATGGAACCGCAAAGTCAGCAAACGAATACTTGGAAGTGCTGGTGGCCAAGAAACCAACCCAGGATGCCAGGACTGCCAACAGCAGAGGTTCAAATCGGGATTTTGTGCGGGAGCTAAGACCCTCACTTTGCGAAAGCCTCGCGTAGGCTGGCTGAAAGTAGATGGGCTAGGCTTCAACTGATAGGAGGCTGCTGGTTGCTGAAATATTTAAAGCCGGCGAAGACAAACTGACGGACGAGCAGACGAAGCAGAAAGCCATGCTACAGAATCCGACCACGAAAAACCACGGAAGCATCAAATACGACGCAAGAGAAGGAGAAGAAAACCTTGCGCAAGCAGAGGAGGGCTGGCAGAGTTGGGGCTGGTAGTATATCTTCTGCAGAGCATAAAAAGGAAAGCAGAAAGAACCATCTCTCATTTAGAGCTCCATACGAGGGCAAGACGAACTGAAGGTTGCTGGGTGCCCAGGTGGGCTGTAACCTGCGGTGCAACCGACGAGCCACTCGAAAACATGCTGGGCTGGCTTTCCTGAGTTTTCTTGAAACGCAAGTTCGCCGAAAACAATTTGGTAGTCTTTGAACCCATGGACAGCGGTAAAGGCTGGCGCTGTGGTGAAGTGTTGCACCGAAGCTAGCACTAAAGCATTCAAACACAAGCCCTTGCCCGAAGCCCTACCAAGGAAGCCCAAACTACCGCAAACCCCAAACTCCAAAGCTTTAACCAGACATGTCCAGGCTTGCCTACTCTCCGTCTTTTTTGTCCCTCGTGGAAACTGTAGCGGCAGCACCTGCAAATGCTCACCAGCTGCTGCTTGCCGAGACTCAGGATTGTTTCTGTGCATTCAGGGCTCGACGTGCGAACACGCCGCAATCCGGTCGGAGTTCCTTACAAGATGTATGGACCTTCATCTTTGGAAGTGGTCTGGCCTCACCCTGTACAGTCTAGACCACGGACACGGGGCTAGTAGCGTTCCAGGGCTTCGTGGTTTTTCCGTTTAGAATCTTAGGTTCATTCGGCCGGCGTAGTATTCTGTCATCATTGTCGTTTCTGTTCTTGCACGAGGTTCCTCAGCCTTCCTTCATAGTCAGTTACGCTCTCGGCGTCTCACAAGAGATACCAGTACTTTCTTCCCCTTGGTGAGAGTAGTCGATCCTTTCTCGGGAGCACATCAAGTACGCACCGTCCCTTCCTGCTTTGCTGTTTGATTATACCATGAGCTGCATTTCGGCGGCTCGTGTTTCGTGGTCTAGGCCCCCATGATTGTGCCTCCCGCATTCTTATTTTCGTTGTGATTGCTCGCGCTGCATGGCCAACTTGTGATACAACTGAGGAGCGCACCTAGAGCTCCTAGACTTTGTGAAGAAATGTGAAGCAGCCCAGTTTATACGTGCTAGCTGCTAGCACCTTCACACGGTAGGAAGTTCACCCTCAAACACCAAGCGACTTCCCAACAAGCCGGTGAGCTCAGGTATTTAGCCGCTGGGCTGACGGGCATTTGGTGAGGTTGGCTGGTTGGGTTCGGGGTATTCCTTCCGGTGCACGTTTAATCGAAGCATATCGAAGTGAACCCCGCAAACCCCATGACGTAGGAATTTCACGGAATGGTAATATAGTTTGGGCAGATCCCATAGTACCATGGCAGCCTTCTGAGCCGAAAATCATCACTTTGAACATGTCGTCTTCCATATGCATACCACATTGTTCACAGACAGCCGGGCCCAACTCTTGGGGACTGTTTTGCTTGATGCTAAGAACCCAAAGCCTGAAGCAAACCTAAACCGTAAACCCCTGTCCCAAAGCTTGGAAAATCATGCCGAGGACGGCTGGGTGATCCCCTTCATCCAAGGCCTGTCACCTTTTCAAGGCGAGACGGGAGCATGCTTAAAGTGAGTGTTTACGGCCTTTTACGTCACCAGATTTGGGGCTTAAAAGTTTAGCATGGGAGGATAAAGGTTTGGGGGGTCTAGGGTGCAGGGGCTTGGCTTTTTCGGCTAAGATCGCATGCTTTTGATTATCGTTTAAAGTGTTGCGCTTACGTCTTTGCAGTAGCCAAGCGTAGCTCTGATTCCCGAATGGTAGAACGTGAGGAGGCAAGTTTAAGTATCTCCTAGCCTGTCGGATCATTCCTTGTTACGCCACTTTGCAGTTCCCCTCCGAACACTCACATTGTCAGAATACCTTTGTCAGGCGACTTCTACACGCCCTCACACCCCCTTTTTAGATTGAGCTCCTCTGGGCTTTGAATCTAGGCTCGATTCACGATTCAGTGGTTTTGAATTAGGCTGCTCAGGGCTTAAAGTTTACTTGCTTTGGATTGTTTGTTTGTCTGCTAGTCTCCTACCAGCCCCCCAAAACGCATTTCATCAAGCTTCTCAGGACTGACCCTAAACAAAGCGTCCTGTTGACCATTGTCTTCGTCCTTGTGCGAATATATTTTTGAAGGTGTGTGTCCTAAACCCACAAGCCCTTTCTGAGCTTGAATCCTGATGCCTCATCCCCAACCATCAGCTCCCAAGCCTGAACTGCAAGCGTTCAATCCGCAATCCCGAGTCCTTTCAAGGAGATCTGGCCCCAGCCAGCACCCGTCTTCAGTCCAAGCCGCTCACTGCTCACAACTGGACGAAGACGGGGCCTGTTAGACAAACAAACAACAACCGAGCCTTGGCCTGTTGACATGGATGACATTTATAGGAATCCAGATTTATTTGCACCAGAAGCTAATTATGCCTGTGTCCGTGCAGTGGACCAGGAAGAGTGCTCCATGCTCACCGCGAGAGCACCTCAAGAGCCCCAAGAGCACTCTAAGACCGCGAAGAGGATGCCAGTGCAATGACAATTATTTGAGAGCGAGATTTCAGGCTAAGATGCACCAACGCTCCAGGAGACAGAGCGATCTCGAGCCAAAATGCTTGGATGCTGTCCAGGAGAGCACGACTTCGAGCCAAATTGCAAGGACGCTACACACGAGAGCAGGATTTCGGGGGCAAAATGCGAGAATGCTCCGCCCGACAGCGTTTTGTAGTGCCAAAAACGCCAACAGTTCTATATTTCACGATGCGCACGCACATAGGACTTGGGAGGAATTCGCGGGGACGCTCCACTCGAGAGCTGCGGAGCTCATGCGAGCGCGGAGCACGCGCCGCAATAAATTCTGTTATCACCACACGGCAGGAGGCCCCAGCAACTGTTTCGGCAAACAGACACCACTGTCAAGCATTCAAGCCGCAGTTGCTGTTTTGGGCATGTTAGGATTATGTCTGGAACAAGGGTTTAGAGATGTGGGTGCTGAGAGGGTTGGGACAATGAAGGGCTAAGACTTTACGGGTTAGGAATCAGGCCTGGGAATTGACTAGGGGTTGGAGTTCGCGGAATTTGGGGTTTGCTTGTTATCAGGTGCGGAGGGGAAAGGCCTGGGAAAAGCTCTTCGAAGCTAGACTCTACATCCCCACAACAATGCTCGCAGGAAGTTATTGTGTTTCTTCCGGACAGAGTCATGACTCACAAGCTGTGCTTAGTCCTATTGAGCGACTACTATCAACAAACCGATTTGTAGGCATGCTAACAATATCAAGTTTTCCGGCAGCTGAGTGGAAAGTTGAATAGAAGAAAAGGGTAATTCCATGGCGCGGTCTTCAAATTAGCATGCTGCGGTGTACTCCGAGATGTACTCACCACAGTACTGGGCCCGGGAGGGATCCATCATTCATGTTGATGGCCACACCTGAAAGCCCAGAGGCCAAGATCGTTGATTCAGTAAGGCATCGGAGATGCGAGAAACGCAAGAGTCACCGAAGTCTTGTTCAACATCCTGGAGGTCCCGCAGGGATTGCGCAGAGAGCGGCAATTCTTTGACGAAGGTCCTAGCCCTAGCACCATGGTAGTTTCTACATGTCTGGGTAGGATTTGTCACAAGTGGCCTCACCAACAATGCAGACCGGCTCATCCCATAGTGAAGAAAGGGTGCGTCAATCCCTCCAAACACTGCCTGTTTGCTCTGTACTCGTAAGTAGGGGATGTTTATTCCTCTTGGGGCAAAGTTCTAAGTCCTCGGGCTGGACTGGGCAGTTTCCAGATTCCATGGATCAAAGGCTTCACTGTAGTCGTGTGCAGGAATTTCAGGTTTAGGATGAAGTGCTCTAGGTAATTTGTGCTTCCAAAGGTTGCTGGCACTGCTGCATGGCCGGTGTGAGCAATTCCCAAGAAGATATGCGTAGTGGGCACTGTCGACTGATTACCTTGGCCTGTCTGAGTCATTGAACGTTTCAAGAAAGAAGGGTGTTGGGTTTGACCAGACTGTCGATCTTGTGGTTGTCGGAACCAGGTCAATCTTAGCCATTCATGCTGAAGCCCCTTTTAAGCCTTACCTTATCTACATGTCCGCATCAATACGCCTTGAACGCCTTTGGAGACCCTGAATCTCAGGCCCCAAGAACCGGCAACCCCGAACACCGTCAAGGAGCCTCAAATTTCAGTCGGTCAAGGCGTAGACCCTCAAGTCTCCAAGCTCGAGAGCTTTCGTACTCTCCTTGCTCAGCCCCCCTGCAGGGTTGAATGTTCATTCCGGCAAGGTTCTCTATGAGGTATACTTTTTGAGCAAGATGCAAAGTAGCTGGCAAGATTTCGTGACGGAGCTGCTTCAGAGCATCCTGGGCAGAAACAGGCTTTTGAGTCTTGGGGGTGCCCTTCTGTGCTCATCCTGTTTTTGGCGCAGTATGTGTCAGTTCTATGAGCACTAGACTACCCTCAGGTGCAATGCTAGAGCTAAGGTGTCAGGTTGTGGGCAGAGCCTAGAGCTTGGGCATTGCCAAGGAAATATAGTTCCCCAGAGGAAGATGAATGAGCTTGGCGGTGTTGGTCTTCTTGTACTTGATAGGGCTATCATCTAAGATCTAGATCTTGATGAGTGGCACTGGCAAGAGTCGACTGTCGGTGAACTGGAGCTAGGTACATCCGGGCTTATCCTAGCTTGAACCTGACGAACTCAACTCCAAAGTCTGAGCTCTTTAAAGGTGCTCCGACCCTTAGCTTGGACACCACCCCTGCCCTCCTACAAGTTGGAACATGTGTGAACATATGTATATATATATACATATTATCCATATATGTATATATATAAAATACACATGCCTGATACATTTGGATCGTGCGGGTGAGTATCCTCTACTTGTAGCGTAGACAACATCACTGAACAGGAAGTGTGCTCATCAGACGACGCTAGCCAACAAAAAAGGCTGCACTTGGCGAAAGAAGTCCATGCATATCACATTCGCTAGTCCATGACATTTTGAACCGTGCCCCATGGACGGATGTCAATATGCAAGAGGCCTGCATCTAACACAAAAATCACTTTCCGCCATCCACCACAATGCATGCACCCTTTCCAGTCAAGCATATCACTCTGAGAGATTATGTTGGATTCAAGAGCCATCATAGCAGTAATCTGCTTATTTTTCAGGATGGCACACAGCAGCAAGCTTGTGAATAGCTTGGTAAGCGCGATTTGCTTCCTTGTTCTTTACAGAATAACTTTCGTGGCTGCAATAAATGCTAACAGATTGTTAGCTGTTGGCAAATCCAGTGCGTTCGGTGGAGAGATTGGATGCAATCCCAAGCCAGCCGTAGAAGTTGCTGATGTAAAGGATGGTGTGCGGACAACGCACTAGATTGTTCCAGACTTTGGCAGTTGTCTGGTCCTGAAGCCACGCTTGCCACACAGGGCGAGACACTTGCCAGGGGTTGGGGATTTCGTCTCCTCCCCTCATCGCCGGAACCAGATCAAACAGGGAGATAGAGGACAAATTGAATGAACAGACACAGGCACAGAGTGAGCCAGAGAGGGAGCGAGCCAGAGAGAGAGAGGAAACCCGGAGCGGCGAAAGTAGATTGGGAAAGGCAGACGGAAAGGAAAAGATGCCCTTGTGATTCTAACCTCTTCAAAGCCTCAACGGCTCCGACAAATCCTCCCAAAGCAGCCAAATCGTTGAAGTTGGAGGCACCAGCGGAGACATGCCTGACACTGAGACCCTGGGATCCAAAGTGAACTCATGGGCAGAAGACGCTTGACAGTCTCATGATCCGAATTTAGCTTTCATCATTGTGGGTTCATGGCGTAACTGTCTGTCAGGCGCCTGAATTCCGCCTGCATGATGTGTACCTGGTATATCATCCAAAAAGTCATCATAGAATGTATCCTTCGCTGGGCAATGTGGCGCTTCGTTATTTGGCCTTGATTTGTGAGTTTTCAACCTGTGGCGTTCTTCTTTGTGAGTAGTTGTAGCAGCCTTCTCAGGATTTAGGTGTGGGATTTCGAAGCTTCAGGGTGCAGGATCCCGAACTTCAGACCCAGGTTTCACAGTCATAAAGCCAGAAAGTTGCAGTTGCAAAGATGAGGAAAAGTGGTGGCTGTTGGGTACCAGCGGCTTGGCGAAGTGTTTAGCAATCTATGGTTTAGTTGAGGGTTTCAGGATGTGGTGGCCCAAGCGGGGCCTGTCTTTTCTGGAACCCCAAGTCGCGCAACCCTCTTGAATCGAAAACTTCAAAAATGTACAAAACCACATCTATTTAACGCCTTATAAGACGCCTTGAGCCTCTGGACCCAAAGCCTTCTAGATTCTAGACTCTAGAGTCTAGATCCCTGTCTAAGGTATCGCCACGCCTGGGGGCACGGGCCCAGCCACCTGCTCTGGATGGATTTACAACTGGCAGGTCAAAGACGGGGTACAGGGATAGGGTAGGCTTGGCCGCAGCAAGAGAGTGGGAGCAGAAAAGCGTTGCCTCAAGCGACCAAACGAACTGCATAGAGTGCATTTGTGCATCGACCCTTCTGGGCTTGAGGGACCAACTTGGAAGTTCCATAGATTCTGTTGACGAAGAGGAAGGTCTGGAACCATCCAGCCAAAATAGCAGTTGGGGTGCGGACCACTGGGGCAGGTCAGGGAGGTGGGTTGCGCTGTGCGAAGCGGAAAGGATCACAAGGAGATAGGGATTGGAGTACAAAGAGTTCTCAAGTTCTGAAGCTTTGCAGGGGCAGTGTATTCAGTAAAATTTGCATGAGCAGCCATGTCTTCATGTGGGAAAAGTTACCTTGCACAAGTCTGATAAATCGACAAGTATCACTCAGATCAACTACGCTCAAGTTGAGGGACCAGAACAAGGCAGGCGAGGCTTGGCTTTGGATTCCTGCAAAAGAGATGATGGGGCATGTTGAGACGTTGCCAAGTGGCAGTGCTCATAAAAGCCTTCTTTTGGACATGCTGAAGCCGCCCTCGGAGTTTGGAGTAATGTTGGAGGTTTCAATGCTGGGCCGATGCTGGATGGTTTGAGTTTGGGGTTCGCGCTTTGCTTGCCCTGGATTGTACATCTGCCGAACTGCTCAACCCCAAATCCCTCAGCCCTCAGGAGGGCTCGTTTGACAGGTTTGTGGTTCTGCGCTCATCGGCGAGCAGCCGCATGCGTTAATTTTCGGCAACAGCACGGGCAACACTTGGACATACAGTCATTCAAGCCAAATTCAGAAGTCTTTCACATTTACTGCCCTTGTATATGACGCGGGGAAGTTAGCTCGCTTGGTTGAACCACAAAACATCTCTGCTCTGATTAGCAGGAGTCGTACTCAAGTTGAGGTTGAAGGAAGATTCATTGTGAGCGCTAAGCCCCAAATCGTTCGATGGATTTGCACGTGTTCAGCCCAAACATACCAACGGCGGGCTGGTGTTGATTGCTGTTGCTGGTTTTTGAGGACGAGGGCTTTCCCACACCGCATCTCTTTTCTCCCCAAAACTGAACTCCCAAGCCTGAGCTCTTCAATCCTCAGCCCTGAATTCCTAATGCGAAAGCCGTGCAGATTGATTGGAACTGGGGGCAGGCTCGCAGTGATATTAGGGGGTACAAGCAAAGGCTCCCAGAGGAGAAAGATTTTGCTATCTGATCCAGCTGCATTCAAAACGCACGCTGCCTGCATCCTCCTAGCTTGTTTCATGTTCGGCCTAGGTGTGAACAAGGCCGTGAAGACGCCTGTCGCCTCCTGGACTCCGGCACGCTTCAGCACCGTCGCTTGGAGGCATGAATTGAGTTTGTGTTTGGAAGTTGCAAGCCTCTCGCAGTTCAGGCCTAAATACCTAAATGGATGTTGTGACATCTTCTTGGGTGTTTTGTGGTTCAGCACCTTTCAGATTGGGAGTTTGTTCCGTAATTGTACAGCCATAAAGGCGCCAAAGCGCATTGTCCGATCCCGGAATTGAGAGCTCTAAAAAACAAAGCTGCAAAATCCGAATCGTCAAACCTCCTAACATTCCTGAACTCCCAAGTCTCATACCTTCTCCATGACCCGGAGCTTCTACAGGGCAACATGCCAGAGCATCTACAACCTGAAAGGCAAAATGCTCCAATCCCGAAATCACCTCAACAGCACAGGTCATGGGCGCTGGGAACTCAGCGAAGGCTCACATGGGGTTTTCTCAAAATGGACGTACTCTTCAGGATCCTCGTTCGGGAACTTCAGAGTTGGAGCCCTCCCTCCTGCTTGCCTGCCTTCCTTTGCTCCTCCCTGCAATGCCGTCACCTGAGCGGGGAGTCCTTCCCTCACGGCCCCTACTTGACACCACCGCGCCAACTGTGCTTGCTTCCGGCGCCGCCTTTGCCAGAAGTGCAAGGGCGGTTTTGGCGGCTGAGCCTTCTAGTCTTTGTCGTGCGGTCATGCGCCTCTCTAGCATTTTTTTGTCCGCCAGGGGTTGTTTTTTACCACCCGTTTTCCGCGTGTGCATTGTGTCTAGTGACGCTCCTTTCCCTGACAGCAACCAAACTCGCTGTAGATGTTTTTGTCGAACTGAATCATCAGACGTAGCTGGGAACGCCGTGGATCTAGACGGACTTGAAGACATCTATGGCACTATGGGTTTAAGAAGTCTGTGTGGGCACAGAAACCATGTCTCTCTCCTTGTTGGGCTTCACTTGACAGGAATGCCAACTGACCTTTCCCGGCCAACTTGACTCAGGCTCCGATGAAGTTCTGCGAAGTCTGCGAGGACGCAAGGTTTGACTACCAGGCCTCTTGGGGTTCAGTAGTATTCGGGATGTCGTGTAAGGCGAGCTCGCGAGGTTCGCACAGGTTTCTTGATTTTCAGCATAGGCCGCATGCTGCAGGTTTCTGATATGGATTTGGAAGCTGTGCAGGTTAGCCTGTGAGCGGTCTTGGGGCACACGGCAGGTGCAGGTGGGTCCTTGGGTGGGCAGGCGGGCGGGTGGGTGCGTAAACTTTTGTGCATACAGAAATGGGGTCACTGCTGACACACCCTGGCCATTACTCCTATCTCATTAGATTAGATGCCGACCTGGATCACAATGCTGGTGATGTTTGAGACCACTAATGGTTTGGATGTCTCAGACAGGCAACCGAGCTGGGTGAAGGGTCGGGTGTGCAATTGTGCTGCAATGGGGCGGTTCGGGTGCCGGAATGTGTTCTCAAAAAAAGGCAGATGGGTATCATTCAAGATTTTGGCTAGCGGGCTTTGTGTGTAGGCACGCCAAACTGGAAATGGATTCCACGGTTCCACTCTTACTGTTTTTTTTGTCAGATTTTGCTGTTCTTGTTCTGAAACACAGGCGAAAGGCAGCGCGGCGACCTCCCCGCAGCAACGCAACTTCCCAGCTTTCGACTCGAGCGACACCTCACTCTTTGCGGCTGTCAGCGCGTCCTCGGCCTTCTTAGGTGCCGATGGCAAGTTTGCAAGTTTTTTGCCAAATGCCGCATTAGAACAAAAGTGGCAGATCGCCTATGGTTTGTGCAAAGAGAAATTGCATCTGATTGTTTGCATTCACGGGGCCTCGGCACTCGAAATCCGAATGCTTTGAAATTGTCAAACAGGCAGGGGTTTGATGTCTGGGTGTTGGAGGACTTCCGTTTTACTCGATTTGCACTGTAGGCTGGGGTGTTTGAAGCCGTGCGCGTGCTTATTCAAGGATGCAGTCTTTGAGGCAAAGTTTTGTGATTGGTTTTAATTTCGAGACATGTTTCATGATGTCCTTGCAGGCAGAGGCAAAGGATATATTTTTTTTTATGGCATTCTAACTCTGCAGACGTAGCGGCGATTTGTATCCTCCTCTCCTTGGTCCCCTCTTCAAGGGGGACAAGCTCTGAGATTGAAGGCTTTCATCTTTGCACTAGTTCATATCGTCATGGCTGTCAGAATCAGACACTTTGGGGTCCGAGCGTACGGACCCGAGAACATAATACTTCTAAGAACAGTCTTCATGTCATTTTTCAGGCATTCCCTCAAGCCTCTGATAATGATTTTCTTGCGGATCCCTGAGGGTCCCCCAGGCCTGGGTAACATGATGTTACGTGGAAAGGGAACCCCGCCTGAGAAATTTGCTCAAGATTCTTTCGGGCATGTTTGCGGATTGGGGACCAATCCAGAAGAGTCCTTGCAGGCAAGCCCTGGCACGATCTGATGGGAATCAAATAATTACATATCTGACTGCATCCAGGTTCGGCTCCATTTGGGACTGTCATGTTCTCCAATTACTTTGCTATGTACTGTTTGTCCAACCCTAAACCTATCCCTGCCTCACTCCCACGCCCGTAAGCCCTGAACCCGTCACCCCCCCGACCCACAGAAAGCGCACCAAGCGCAGGTGAGTTTGTCAGTGTGGACTGGTGGAACACTTACTTTCAGGACCCGAGTTCCCAAAGCCATCAGCTCTTATTTGACGGGAGGTTGACATATCAAGGTTCCGGCTTCTCGGTTTCAGAAGTATTGTGTCCAACGCAGGGGCTTAAGATTGTGATTTTATGGTTTTGGGTCAATAAAGCTTGGACAAAGCCCAGCCCCCTGCACTATAGTCACTCGAGGGCCGGACTAGGGGTGAGTGTGATTGTACATGCCCTTGCGGGGTAAAGGAATCGGTAACTACGCTGAAAGCGGGACTACTTTGAGGAGCGTGGGTCTGCCTTATACTATGAGGAACGTTCTCTACAGAACTGTACCTGGTGGACATTCTACGACAACGATTCACAGTTGAAGCTGTCATCATCAACCCTCAGAAGAAACCTAACCTCCTGGCCTCCGCCCTGACCCTCACATCCACCCTGGAGCTACTCCGAACATCTGAAGGGTGTGGTTGAGGTCAGGTGGCACTGCAGGCAAAATGCCTGTCATTCGTCTTGAGCCATTCGATTTGCGTGTCATGTTGCGCAGGAGCCATGCTTCAATGGCTTGCACATGCGCTCATGCACTTGCAACTTCAGGATTTAGGCTGGTACAATCACAGTGAGAAATGGTCCATAAGTAAGTTGCCACTGCATGCGGGGTGGAAGGTGTGGGGTATCATCGTCATGACCACCACCATGCTGCTAGTAATGATGACGACGATGATGATGTCATCATCATCATCATCATCATGGTCTTCATTGCTTCTGGTCCGGCTACGATCGCATATTTTGAGGACATGTGTTGAGGGGTAAGTTTGCCATGTTCAGAAAGCAAGGTCCGAGAAGTAAACCAGACCTTTCAAAACAGGACCTCTTGGCGCAGTCCATTGCGGAATTCATCCAACTTCCCGGCCTGAATCCAGGCCCTGACCATGAACGAGCAAATCACGTGGGAACTGACCCACAGTACATGAGCTTTAGATGGATTTCGATGATAGTGGTCATGTCCGCGAATTGCGTTGTCTACTTAGAAGAATTCTTGGTGTGAAAGCTGTATGGTTCAGGAATGCGGATGATTTCAGGCGAGCTTTGGAGTTTTTGTCTCCGCATATGTGCGCAGTGTGAGCACCGCGCACCACCGCGCTGTATTGTGCACCGGGAGTATGATTGCCTGCCTAGCCAGTAGGAGCTGTAGATTCTAAGATTAGCAAGCGCAAGCTAGGTTGGGGAGTTTCGCTGTGAGAGCTAAAAGGCTTAGGGGTCTTGGGAGTCCGGGGGTCTGAAGCTGAGGAGTGACCGCAAATCCAGATTTCCTAACGCTTTTCACCTCGCACCTTGAAAGTCTCCCAAGTTTCCAGCCTCAAAATTGCACTTTGCACCCATTTGCAAAGTGAAGCCCTAGACCGTGAACCATGAACCCTGAAACTTACACCCTAAATTAAAAGATGGTGATTGATGCTGGGTTTCGACCCCAAGCCCTTGACTCCTGAGTCTGAAAGTCATAAACCAAACCTCAGACCTGGAGCGGCAAACATCAAACATAAACCTTGCACCCGCCCAGAATTCGTGCAGTGGCTCGAGCAACTGGGTGACAAACAGCAAGGTGAAATGGCTTGGGGGTTTGCCGTTAAGCGCAGGCCTCCTTAGGTGGACAAACTATTTGGGGGGCAGGGGTAGAAGAAACATTTTACTTGGCTAAGACCTGGCTATCACTGGGTTAAAAATCTTTCAAAATTCAATAGCCACCGTGCGTGTCATCTTGCAAACTTGGTAGTGCTTGCTGACAAGGCATGTTGTTTATCAAGTGTTTACCGAATAGTTCCTGCATTGGTGCTTACCTGCATCCGTACGCGTGTGTTTTGAGGGATTGGGGCGTCTTGCGTGTACAAGCCCGGGCATCTTTCCGGGTCTCAGGTGAGGCACCTACACGCGCACCAGATTGAGCTTAGCAAAAGGCACACGGATTTTGAGCAAAGTCTTTGCGCACGTGCAGCCTGCGAGCTTTCTTTCAATGGTTTGGACCATACCAAGTAGTACAAAAACCGAGGTCGGAAATATGCACGGAGCTTTTATTGACTGCCATTTTTGGTGTCTCCGCACGCGTCGTGCTGACATAAGAAGAAGTTGATGGATAGACTTTCGATTGAAGCCAAAGGGTTCTTTACCCTACAGCTTAGATCCTCAACCTCAGCCTCCTGATCCTAGAAGAGGAATGGGCTCCTCAATCTTCTGCACGCGCAACTGCCTGTCTGGGCAGCTTCAGCTAGCAACGGCGTGGAATCCTTCACGAAGGCACTTGCAAGCTATCCTGTGCTTACGAGTTTTACGGCATGTTTTTTATTCTACGCTTTTATGGTCTTGGCATCTAGGTGGCAAAGGCTTTCAGATTTGTTTTGCTGTTGTTCAGGTGTTTGGCGGGATGGCATTTGAGCTTAAGTTATGCAGGCGTAGGAGGTAGGGGTTTTGGGACTTGCGATGGCCTGTGGCTTTCATGGAGTATTGATACACGTCACGGTCATCATTCCCCGTGTCATCCGAGACCTTTGAAAAGCCTAAGTAATCCAGTAGGAATGTTGGTTTTTATCAGTCGCATGTGAGGCGTGTCAGGGTGGCCAGCGTTAGGAACAGGCGCAGATCAGGCAGCGTCATGAACAAGAGTCAGGAACACCAGCCATGCTGAGGCCAACGCCTAATTCGTGTTTAACATGCCCGGATTCAAGTTTCACCTTGCAATCGAAGCGGCGCACTTGAACAAGGAAGCACATGTAAGGACATCTAGTTAGCCCCTTCTCTCGCTTTCTATCGGCTTGCAATTTGCAATCAGGAGTGGTCCAGCGAGACCTAAGTCAAGACATGTGTTAAAATCCACCCCTTTCACCTTGCAGTTCAAACTTAGGGGGCCGAAGTACAGACATTTGTTACCAGCCCTCGCCCTGTAATTGAGAAAGCACATGGGCATAGCGAACATCCAGAGACCTTTGTTACAATTGTTAAAACAGCCCCCTTCGACTTGCCATGATAAGAGTACAGTGGAATACAGGAACTGTAGATGTTTGCTACGACCACACATCTTGCTTCGCAATTTGACATAAGATGACTCGAGTGGCAACATGGGGACAACCACCGCTTGAGCCTTGCAACTCACAAGAAACGGTGACAAAGGGAAACCCAAGCAAAGTCCTATCAAAGCAACTCCCTTGTGCCTCGAAATTTGGAAAGGGTGCCTCAAGTAGACATGCTTGTCAAAGCCCCGCCCTTCACACAAGACACAGCACAGGGAATTTGCATTACAGACACTTGTTAACACCACTTCCCCCTCTCTTTGCAATTCAGAACACACGGGAGATTCAGGCAGCGGTATTTTTAAAGCTGACCCCCAACCTCGCGGTGGTGGTGGTGGTGGTGGTGGTGGTGGTGGTGGTGGCGGTGGCGGTGGCGGTGGCAGTGGCGTTGGCGGTGGCGGTGGCGGTGGCGTTGGCGGTGGCGGTGGCGGTGGCGGTGGCGGTGGCGGTGGCGGTGGCAGTGGTTGTGGTGGCGGTGGCAGTGGTTGTGGTGGCGGTGGCGGTGGCTGTGGCGGTGGCGGTGGCGATGGCGATGGCAGTGCATGGGGGCAGTGGTGTTGGGGCTGGTGGCGCTGCTTGCGTTTGTATAGGGGGGTTGGGTCAAAGGTTTGCCGATCGTTTCTTACCACATCGAGCGCAATGCTTTTCTTAGTCGCACGCTGCCTGTGAACAACCACATGCGACTGACGCGACCGTATCCAATTCCCGAGGCCCAGGCCCTGTTCCCCAAACCCAAGCTTAAACTCTAGACCTTCATTATCCAAAGATTGTGGCCTTAAAAGGCCACGGGTCTCCTGAAGCTGCTACAGAAGCTGATCATGAATGGCTGCTCAGGTTCTGGGAAGGAAGATTTAGGGTTGGGTTGTTATGCTTCTGGGGTTTGGGTTTACGGGGTTGGTCTATGTTTTGTGGGGTTATGTTTTCATTTTAGGCCCTGGGGTTTGCTGATTGAGGTTCAGAGAGCTGGCTCGCAGGAGGAAAAGATCTGTCGGTTTCGGAGGGTCAGGCCACACAGAAACTCGCGAGCTTTGTCATGAAAAACGCCCGACCTAGCCGTTTCAATCAATTTTGCCCCTTCCGCCACCTGGCGAAGCCATGGATGCAAATGTCTTCTTCAAAAGCTTAGAAAATGCATGATGCTGTGAGAAAGATGCAAGAAGTTCAGACAGCCAAGAATCATTTACATGTCCACATGGTGATCAGCCATGACGTTGACCTTGAGCAATGCAAGAATTTAGCATCATTTGCAGGCTTCAGAGCCCTATGCCGAGTCTCGCAGTTCAGGTTTTGAGGACAGTGACAAAAAAGAAGACAAAAAACAGGCTGATTCAAAGGTGCTTCTGAAGTGTGATGTCGTGTGTGTACATGACCGGTTCTAGCCTCAGCTCTACATGCCATCACCAGTCATGCCCGACTGGAAAGCACAACGAAGGATGGATAGACTATCTCGCTATCTACTTATGTCCCCCCTTCCTTGTTAATCTCGAAAGCTCTGACTTTTCCTTTGGCTGGAATTACAGTTCTCTGGTGACCCTACTAGTCCAAATCTGATTGCTCTCAGTAACACAGTTGGAATTCCTGTCAGTACCATAGTAACTGCTGTTCCAGCCTAGGCAGTCTTGTCTCCTATGAGCCATAAACATGTTTGCACGGCATGTATGCTTAGTCACTGGCTCCGACCAGAGCTCTTACGACCTTTCTGTCCATGCTCCATGGTCATTGCCTACCAGGCTCATTTTGACTTAAACGCATTAAAGTCTTGTTCTGCACGAAAGCAAAGGAAATCCAACGGCCAGCCCGCGAACTTGAGCCTGCCTGAACTGGCGAAGGACTGGGGTCTTGTAACCGATGCCTGAGCGATCTGTAGAGCTTGTGAGAGGCTCATGGGCAGTTCCAAATGGAGTAATAGAGTAAACGTGGATACGAGATTTGCATAGCAATTGTGGTAAAGGTGAAAACCACGAAAACAATGTGATATCGATTGCAACAGACCACGACCGTTAAGAGGCTGGAATTGAGGTTTGGGCTGCAGAATTTCCTGGAGTAGTCTTGTCTTGGACGCGAGGCCAAAAGCTCATGTTCAGGCCAATGGCAGGCTGTAAGTTTCATGTTGCTGCTATATCAGCTGTTCTTTCACATTGCTATGCCCGCGCGACAAGGAAGGAAGGTGAACTGGAAGGGGATCAGAAACACAGTGTCAAGGAGAGAAGAGTGCAAGGGCCCCCTTTCTGGTTCCAGTTCTGCTTGAGGGAAGTTAGGCGGGAGGTTGAGTAGTGAGTGATAGCGAATGTCTCATGCCTTCGAGAGAAAGTCAGCAAGATCGCAGGCAACCAAGGCGACGTAAAGTTCTGTGAAACCTGATAGGATCAATCAAAGTACAGCTTCTCCATCCTAGTATGCAGAGATAGCAGAAGTATCTTAAGGCTAGCATTGGACGAAGATAAATCCATACACCATCACAACAATCGTCGTTGATGATAATGTTAGGAGAAAGAGAGACTAGAGATCAAAAAGCCACACAGATGGACTTGCGACCTAAACCCTGATCATCAAGCCAAACTTTGAAGTTCCTTCTCACATAACCAGACATCTCATATCAGAAGTCGTTATACAAGAGCAGCAGGACTTTTTGAAGTCAAGGCCGTTGACCGTGAAATGAGGTCCCTGTGAACGCGACGCTTAAATTTGAATCAGTACCTGCAAGACTATTGAACCCCCTGCCCCCCCTCCCCACCCGGAAGCCCTTCTGGTGGCCTCAGAGGACGGCCTTTTCGGTTTGGTGACTTTGCTGGAAAGCCAGGTCAGAGTTGTGGACCCCGGGCTTAAGTTGTGGGGACCCAAGATGTGAAATGTAGGAGCCCAGGAGATGTGATCTCGTGTAAAGGAAGGCTTGCGCATAAGTGTTTGAACTCAGAAAGAGGATGATGAGTTTTCGTCTTAGAGGTGTAGGGTTGAGTTTCCCTCAACTTGAAAACGTTGGATGTGTTTTGCTGCCACCTGGAGGTTTGAAGCAAACGACCTCGCTTATGCGTGCATTCAAATACCCACAGGTACTCATATGCTCCTCCAAGAAATCGCAAGGCGTGTGCCTTCACCGTCACACACATATATATGTATATATGTATGAACATATATGTTTATACACATACGCATGCACACTCGGATGTCGTATGGGCTGCTACGCGGAGTTTTCTAGGACGATATGTGAAGCCCTAGTTTAGGTGGATAGCAAGACGTTAGACCAGGAATCTTGTCTGAAAGCCCAAGGTAGATGGGGCTCTTACGGATAACACTGCCATCGGCCACGCTTTGGCAGCAGGTCTGGACGAGGCGAGCAAGGGTTTGCAGGGTTGAGATAGCTTTCTGAAGTAGGTGCTGGGATGGTTTTTTACCGGGTCAGAAGCCAGACGCGGCATAAGTAGGCTGTGGAGTTTAGCGTGTCATGTCGCTGGCGTGTTGGGGTTCGGGATTTAGAGCTTTAGCTTGAGTCCATGCAGTTTTCGAGTTTGAGTTTCGACCTGTGGGGCGTTGCAGTCTTTTAAGGACTCATTGAACCTCAGCTCAGCCCCGCTTAGACTGGAGGCTTCTGAAACCATGTATTGGGAAATGCATGCAGCAATCAGGTGTGGCGTTGTATCTAGTCTTTAGGTAGTGTGGCGCTCTCTTGTTGGCGCAGGAGGGGTTTAGAGGGTTTTGGAGGTGAGAACTTTTGTTGGTCTAGAAGGGCATGAATTTTGTTTGGAGGTCCCAGTCTAAGTGGTGTGAGCTCATGCAAGACCGCAAGACCCCTTGTCTTGTAAAAACCCGAACCCGGATTAAGTGACAAATGGGTCCACAAGCGTTAGGCTTCAGCCATAAACTCTAAACATCCCTGGCTTGATGATGTGTAGGCCTGGTAGTAGGCTTCGGGGAGCGGCTGAAAGGGGACAGTAGATTGCCCAAGCTTCAGAGTATGGGGCACAGCAGTTAGACGCGTTTAGACCATTCCGGCCGAGATCTTAAGGTAAGAGTCAGGCATCAAATTTAGGCCAGGTGCACAGTTTCATTCGATGCGATTTCGATGCAGATTCCTCGCATCCAGACATCCCGGACTGGGCATCCTTTCCAAGGCTGCCCCGAACGTGAAGCTCCTACCCTATAATCTCCCCATCAGCACGCCTGACAAAAGTGTGCTTGGAGTTCCGAGGTCATTTGCATCATGGATGGCATCGACGACCTCTGGGATTTGATGGGTGGAGTTCCCAGCCACATGGACCACCGTTCGCACAAAGCTGAAACGTGCGCTCGCAAATCAATGATTTTGTCTAATGCTATGATAAAGCTTGCAATCTTGACTTGAACATGGGCCCTTTACAAACATGAGGTGTATCCCTAAGCTCCTCACATTGAATGTTGAATGCTTGTTTAGGAAGCAAACAAGAATCTCAAGCAAATTGTGACATGTCAGGACAACATGGCCCCAACCTTCAACTTGAGATTCCTCCCACTAGCCCAGGAATCCCACATCCCAAGCTCGCAGCATAAAACGCTCAGCCTGAACAGCTGAATCTCATCCCGGGAGGGCCAGGTGGGTACAACTTACTCTAGGCAAATTAGATCTGTAAGTCCACCTGCAATTCTAGGCCCCAGCGATCTGGCCACTTTCAGTTGCAAAGAAGTGCAGTGACCTTCCTTCCTCCCCGCTTCCGAGCCCTCAAGCTCTGGCATGCTCTGGTGCAACTCGTGGCCCTGAACCCCAAAATTGTGTTTGGCCCCAAAGCAGGACATACTTCAAGTGCCAATTTTGGGTTCGCTGATCAACACATGCCCGTTCTGCTACGCCAACTTCCAGCTTTTCGCAGAGAGCAGCGAGGAGCCACCCAACTTGAATAACACATTCATTCCATGTAATACCAGAGGAATGATGGCCTGATCCAGTGACAATGATCCACCATTGGAGGGAGAGGTTGTCTCCGGGAGATGTTTTGNNTTTGCCCCCCCCCCCCCCCCCCCCCGAATGTTGGAACAAATGGTCTACATTTGTCCATTGTGCGTCTTTATATAAGTGTATGGAAGATCTGGAGAAGTTGTTTCCTTGGTTTCCTTGCTGGCTGGGATGGTTGATGCACTTTAGAGGTTGGGGGTCGATTGAAAGGCTTGCACACTCCTGTACTTGCTTTGTGTAATTGAAGATTGACTATGGTTGCATGCTTCAGCGACGGAAGCATTGGTAACCTCCAAGGAGTAGGCAGCCGCTAGGTATCAATGATCCGCAGAACTCCTAACATAAGCCCATCCAATCCATATCTATCTCTAAGCAGTCCTCCAAAGAGAGGGCACGAGCCCCTCAGTCGTACAAGTTGCAACTTTGAAGAAGACCCAGCCCGATGGCTCCTTGGAGTGCCCAATGCTATTTGTTTGGGGGGTTCTCAAACTTTTTGACCTGCTTCCATTTCTGAGAACGGTGCTAAAAGGTCAGTTTGAACAAGTCCAGTTCCATTTTGGTTCTTCCGGAGCCATCTTCTGATGATGCAGGTTGTGGGTCACACAGGACGTGAAGAGACAGACACTATACAACCAAAGCACGCAGCCCAGCCCAGCCCTCGCTGCCCATGGAAAGAACTGCAACCCCTCCTGAAAGCCTCCTATTAAAAAACCAAGAATCTAGCAGAGAAAGGTCCTTCGAGCCAACACCAGAAAATCCAACCTGTAGTACACAGCAGCTCAAAAAAACGAGCAAAATTGACCCCCCCCCCCATCCCCCACCTCCCCCCGCACCCACCAAGGATCCCAGGCTCACTCCGTGAGATAATACGCGAACCTCCCTCCAGGAAGCTTTCGTGATAAGGATCGCCAAGTTGTCGGCTGTTCTCATGCATAGCAACTGCCAGAAGAGGATGCTTGTTCTTTTGGCCTACCCTTGACCCTGAAGCGTGAGCCTAAACGATTTGGATATTTGACCCTTGCGGGGCTTACAGCAGCCGTGCCCACGGGCCAACCAAAACCCCAGGTAAGCATGTGAGTGGCAATTCTTGACGACAGAGACTCGTGTATCTATCTGTGCGGAAACGATCGTAGTGAATCCTTATCACAAGGACAGAACAAGTGGGACTCACAATCTGTGTCCCAGCCCGTGGCTCTCAAGTTATGTGAAATGAGGTTTTTCTAGCACATGCAATTCTTGCCTGGCGAGTTATGTATTGTACTGCCAGTACGTACAGCTTGCAGGTACTCTTTGAAGCTCTTCTGCAAAAGGTTGCCGGATGCAAATCCAGTCTCCTCTTCTCGTGATTCAGTGCTGACTTGCAGATTCATCGAGCAGTCCGACCTTGGGTACGTGCTTCAGACCCTAGGCCCTAGATCCTGAAATCCAACATTCAAAGCTGCGAAGCCCAGAAGAAGAAAGCCCAAATCCTCAAACTCGAAGCAAACATGCGCTCCTTACAGTGCACCCTAAACTTCCTCAAATGCTCAGTTGCAGGATGGGCAGGAGCAGTGGCACACAAATTCGCAGCAGCTGATGATGCACAAAGTTGACTCTTACTCTTTTCAGGTTTTATTTGTCAGATTTTCTGGGCTCAGGGTGGCCGAAGGTGGCAACATCCTCAGGGATTGAGGATTGTGCGTTAGCGCTTGAGGGATCCGCTTGCCTGCTCATTGGAGTAAGTAGCTTGCAGGGTCTACACTTAAGCCCCTGAACCATAAGCTTATCACACACACGTCTGAGGCAGGCGCACAGCAAAAGCGGTGCAGAAACCAACCGTCCGTTAGTCCGAAAAAGCTCCTGTTGAGCTGAAGCTAAAATCTCCTGTCCAGATCAACAACTGATCGACAGAAGCGACCACCAGAAAAGTCTTTCAACAATGAATGGGCACTCGAAAGCCTCTCACAGGAAACCCCAATCCGCAAACCGTCAAAGGAAATCCATACCCAAGATGAACACCCGAAAGACGAAAGACTAGTAGGTGGGACAAGCCAAAATGATGCAGAAACTTACTTCCTATTCTCCTGATCTGCCTCAGTTGTTCAGCGACAGTCGGAGTGGAAGCTGGAATTCTTGGATCGAGCAACCCGTCAGAGCTCCAAACAGAAAGATCACTCTCCCAAAACAAACCAACAAGCTCGAGCCAAGAAATCCGAAACTCAAGGTTGGAACAAGCATCCTGATCAATCAATAATTGCACAAACTTCCGTGCCGTCTGTTGAAGGTGCGCAGGAAATATCTGGGCGATTTCCTGCCTCCATGTCAACGGGAGCCTATCTGCCATGGCTTCCTCTCGGGGTAGACCTCGAGGAAGAGCAAGGTCTGCAACAACAACGTCTTCTTCAAAGAGCGCCTCACTCCTGTGTCGCGATGAAGTCTCTGCAAGATCTGCGATTCGAAGATACACGTGTCGAAGCGAGCGCAAGAGGGAGGCAGTGTCCTCCGCATAAAGCAGAGCACGTTGAAAAGTACGCTGAAACGTCCAAGTCCGGTTAACGTTCACCACGGTCGCTACCGTGTCCACGTAATTGTTCCAGCGTGCAACCCACTCCTCAAAGGCCGTCTCACAGAGTGCTGGGTCAAGGTGCGAGGTGACGTGCTGGACTCGTACCTGACCTGGTTGGAGTTCTGTAGCCTGATCTCGAATTCGCTTCCATAGGTCCTGGTTATCCCCGTGTGCAGCAGGCTCGCACCCTTCCAACAGAAGGCGTAGCCCTTCAGCAACCGAAAAGGAATCCCCCCAAATGACAGCGAAAACCCTAGAGAACCTTACCCAACTTACTGCAGAAAGAACCGCAAAGAGTTCGGCCCTAGGTGCAGACTGATAGACGCCCGGCAGGTGGCCCAGGGCCACAATTTGACCACTAGACGCGTTCACGACGCCCCATGCCGCAACTGAAAGTTCGGACTTTCAGTGCTGGGTACAAGCCCCATCTGTGAAGAGGTGTTGAACCCCACTGCTTGGCCCTGACTGGAACTGATGTGATTCATCCGGTAGGGAATGGAGCAATGCACGAAGTTCACGGGTGGCCGGACAAGCAGGCGGAAGAAGGTGGAATTTAAGGCAGGGAGGCATGGACTCCCATCTTGCAAGCACATTCTCCTGCCCAGCACGTGCCTGGTCGAAGCGTGGACAGTGAAGCATCCTGTGCTCCTTTGTATCCTGCAGTCCGCATTGAGAGCACAGACCCGACTGTGTCAGGTCGAACCTAGACTGAGCCTCCCCAAACATGAGGGCCCCACTTTGCAAGGCTGCGACTCTGGCGGTCTGTGTTGCTGGCCGCCGTCAAGTCTTGCCAAGGCAACATCAATGCCATCAAGCCCGGCCATGCTGCCACGGTGTTGATGCTCATGCGCGACGTATCTCAGCCAAGCACGCTCTGCCATGCTACGCAATGCCGGAAGAGGGACGGACAGCAGGTCGTGTGCCAGGTCCTCCTCGTCAACAATGATGGGAGGTGTGCCAACCCTCCACCCTATGCCATTAAGGACTGTTAGCAACTTCGAGAAGGGGCCATGAAAAAGCCGTCCATCGAAGCGCTGCATGAAGTCAACCCACAGCTGCAAGAACCTGGGTTGCTTGTGACAAAGCCTGCGCAGGGTAACCAGGCAGTTCCAGCACTGATAAAATCCCGGATCCGCAGTAGCCGGGCGGCTCAGGGAAAGGCGGAGGAGTGGACTACCCCCCGCAGGAGCGGACCTCAAGGCTCGCACAGCCTGCGTTCTGAGAGATTGGGGCAAGGAGTCCGAAATTGGACATGCAGCCCATGCTCCAACACTTGACAGGTAAGGCTGAAAGCTTCTGATAATATGGGGCTTTGGGCCTACGCAATGCCGCGCAGGTAGGCTCCAACTGTTTGCAGCGATCAACCATAGGACGGTTGCGCGTAGCAGAGCTGAAAGAAATGATTCCACCAAGCTCACGGCAGGAGTCGAGGACTGGCAAATTCATTGCGCGAAGAATGCGACGCTGAGAACTGCTAGTGGACCAGGCATAGGTTTTGGATGCATCAAGCTCCAGAAAAAGAGCATCACAGAGGCACTTGGTGGTGTTCAGACCGACCGCCACATCATAAGCTCCCTTGCCAAGGCCTCGCAAGTTGTCCACGTAGCTTAGTGACTCCACGGAAGGAGCAAAGGCACGCATGTATTCATGGTAAACAAAGCTGCAGATGCTCATAGCCACTGTGCTGAGAGGGCAGCCTTCCGCAAACCCGCAAGTGGATGAGACCGGGGCACTGACTGCACCTTGTGACCACAAATCTTCGCTGCATGCCATTGACAAAGGCTTTCCATGGGGTGAGGATTCGATCCGGAAGTCCAAGGATCGCTGCTGCCTTGAAAAGGGGCAGCCGAGGCAAGTTGTTGAAAGCTTGTACTAGATCTGCCCCGTATCCCGAGAGCTCGCGGGCATCCTGAACTGCGCATTCAACGAGACCCTCAACAGCGTACCAGGCCTCAGTAGCCTCATGTCCTGGCATGAATCCAAGGGAGCCAGCAGGGATGAAATCCCTCAGCCAGTGGAGGATTTGGCGTGCACGCAAGCTGGCCCAGCACCTGTAGATCACACTGAAAACACAAATGGGTCGGTAACCCTTAACCGACTCCCCTCTCCCCGGCTTGTGAATTGCCGTAACGAGGCCAACAGGGCCATGCCGCCCCATTTTCGACCTCCGCAAGCAGTTGCAAGAGTTCGGCGATGCGAGGCATCGGCATATGTAGGAGATCATCACGGGCATAACCGTCCGGGCCACGCGCAGATCTCGGTCGAAACCTGCGGAGAGCGGCAATCCATGCTGTGGGGGAGATGACAGGAAGAGAGAGCGGCCGGCTCGGCAGGAAGGCTTGGGCAAAAGCAAGTATGCGGTCCCATTGCTCCGCAGAGCTGGGCTTGTTCCAACGTTGAGTCCAAAATTTGACAAATTCTGCATGTACCTCCGAAGGAGAGGAAACATACTGGAGCTGCTCTAGCTCACCATCGGTCGGAAGAGGAAGAGAGCCTCCGATCCTGCAAACTTCCGGCGACACGGCTTCAACACTGACGATCTGACCATCAATTCGCCATTCAGAGTTTCCCGTGAGGTCCAGTGGTCCTTCTACATGGAGCAACCTTTCCTGCGAATCAGTCGCAAGAATGGTGTATTCATTGTTGCAGACAAGGAAGTCGACCGGCCTGCCGGCAGGGTCTTGGAGGTCCTGAAACAGGCGCCTTTTGGACGCATCGTGGCGGGCAGTCAGGATCTTGTTTCGCTGGCCAACATGCCAGCCTTCAAAGCGACGATAATTGTCCCGAAAGTCCAAGAAAATACGAGACGCCGTGTCCGGGTCTGGAACATACTCAGGGAGTGTGGCTGGGCTTCCGACATGTTGGATAGGACGGCGAAGCCACCAGTCACAGAAGCCTTGATGAAAACCAGTAGCCTTGAGGATGCTATGCCAGAGGGTACCCCTGTACTCAAGAGCGTTGAGGTCATACCTGGCATTCTGCAGTGACTGTCGCAAAGATTGGAGGCGCCGTAACTGTTTGAACCAGCGGCGTACTTCCAAGGACAACAAATCACTCTGCATGCATTCATCGCCTGACCGGCTCTTTCGCACAGTAGGGACAGACAAGTCCTTGGGCACCGGTTCCAGAATCCTTGCTCGCCCAAAACAAGCAGACGGCAGTTGGCGCCCAGGGCAATTCACATGTCCATTCAAACTCTGCTCAAAAAGATGCGCGTGCCTCTGAAGCCTGGCAGTGGTGTTCAGAAGTGGAGGCGCATCGATGTGTGTTTGCCCCTGAAGGCCGTCCAATGCAACGCCATTCCAAGGTATCTCAGCCGGACGTGGCCAGAAACGGACGGCACCAGCGTTGGAAGCAATTCCTATTTTTGCAGAGATAGTGGCATGTTCCTGGAAAGTATGGTTGACTGCTCCGCCAGTGCAAACTGCAGCAAGTTCAGGTGACAGATAAAGAAAGTCGCGCCTTGTGGCATCCTTGCATGTCGGAGAGGGCATGACCCCCCATCGCTGCCATAACAGCTCCTGTAGTTCAATCCAGCCTTGCTGTCTCCACACTCTTGTCTGAAGAAGGCTGTCTTCGTCTGCGTTCAGGTCTCCGCAGATTACTCGAGGGCCGAGTCTGCCAAAGACCACTTCTCTTGTGATTGGCTCTAAAAGCGCATCTGTGGCTGCCTCCGCTCTTGGGTGGCCGCGGCTATAGCCATAGACATTGGCTACCAGAAGGGGGAAACTCTCGATTAAAATTTGGGCAAGTTGCACTCGAGCCGTCTCATAGATACCATTAGGCCAGGGCATCTGCGCAGAATGAGTCGGCCAATCAGCAGCAATCAGAACACCTGACCAACTGCCTGCCCATTCACTATGGGCCCGGAGCGGAGCTGCAGCCCCCGCGACTGCCCGAACATTGCGGCCTTGTTGCTTGCCCAAGACACGAAACTGGGAAATAGTCTGCGGAAGTGTGATGGAGGAGAGCTGCGTCTCACTGAAGCAGTGTACCCCTTGTTCCAACTCCAGCGCATGTGGCACCTTGCCTCGTAAACCTGACGGGTTGCTTGTCGAAATCCAAAAATCCATGGCGGGACCTGGATGTTGCGCTTCTCCAAAGCGGGGGGATCCTGCGGACCCTGAGCGGATCAGAACCGGAAGCAGCAGCCAGAGCAAGCCAAGTGGACAAGCCGGCCGGCTGCGGGCCACCGCGGGAGGCAGCAGTCAGACAGCAAGGAGAGGACTCAACTGTGCGAGTCCAAGTACAGGAGACTCGACAAACCCAAAGTCGAGTACAACGCGAAGGCAGGAGACATAAGAGCCAAAATCCAATACAAAAGACAAGCTGGCAGAGGGCGACTAAGCATTGGATCGGCCTACACCAAGCCCAACAGGTGTAGCCGAGGAGCCCTAGTCACTCAGAACGTTGCTTTTTGGAGAGCAAGGCTTCGAGTCTGTTGCTCTGCTGCTGAAATTGATGTTGCATTTGAGCTGTTAGCTCGGCCGAGAGGGAGCCAGCCGCAGCCTGGACTGAGGCAGGGAGGGAATCAGCCTGACGCTGGACTTCAGTGCGGATTTGTGCCACGTCATTGGCCTGCGCCTGAACCGACTGCTGTAGCGTATCAATTTGGCCTTGCGAAGCAGAAACCTTCTGCCCAAAACTCTGGAACCACCCCTCAAATTTCTCACCCTGTGCCTTAAGCTCCTGGAAGCCAGACTCAAGACGGGACAGACGCGTGTCAGAATCCTGTGCTTTCTTGGTGGCATCCTCGCCTGAGGCTTGCAAATGCTTCTGCGCTAGATCTTGCATGCCTTGTGACAGCTCATCACGCAGCTGGGAGATCTTCGCCTGAGATGCTGTGCTTGAAGCCGCTGGCGGGCAAGGCAGGCCAGGCGGGGGCCGTGCGAGTGACCAAGGGTCACGCCCTCCAGTCCATGGGTCCTGACCGGAGTGAGGAGGCCCCTCTTCACCATCATCATAAAGGATCTGGCGTTTAGTTCGCCCTGAGGCGGTGATGCTCGCGGGCGGAGCTGGAGCAGACGTGTCACGAACCTTCTGCGCTAGCACAAACGTGCCTTGCTCAGCAGCACCCAGGACGTACCTTCAGCGTCGCCTCTTGCAGGTTGCAAGGGCTTTGCGTCCCAAGCCCATGTCTTGAGCAGGGTTTGCAAATGCTTGCGCTGGCATCCAAAAGGAAGTGGATGCAAGCGGTAGTGTGCCACCACCTTTATCTTCCGGAACTCGCATCCTGGGCGTACAGCTTGGAAAACAGCCTGCTCGTCAGCCTCACGGCATCTAATACCGTATCTACGCCCCAGCCTAGTAAGAGCGAGCGCCTGGGAGTTTGTGCGAAGGATGTGCAAGGCACGAGGGTAATCCGCTTCTCGCAGCCAGATGACTGCAAATCCCGGATGTGGGGCGGATCCGCCCTGGGCACGGGGCTCTGCATAAAACCCCCTGATGAGAAGCTGATGCAAGTGTTTCAATGCAGAGGCAGGCACTCGAACAAGGCAGGCGAAGACCTGCGCATCTGCTGGGGTGGTGCGGCCACCCTCCAACTTAAGCCATTGGCGTCCCCAAAGATCCAAGATGAGCCTATCAATGCAGTCAGCTTCCTCTACTGAAGCGTGGAATCTGCCGCATTGCTGGTTGCAAGAGGCCTCTTTACAGAGCAAGAGCCCCGGATTGCCTGACACAAGCACCCGCACCGGTGCAGCAATGAAGGCAGACCAATCAAGGGAGGCCTCATCTCGAAACACAGAAAATCTGCAGGTGACTGTCTCGAGCTCATCTGCTTCTGCGATTTGACTCTGCTGAAGTTGCACAACCTCGTCCCCCAACTGTATGAGAGATCCTCTGATCAAAACGGCTTCCTCAGTAGGGGCGTACACTGCAGGGAATTGTATGGCAGAAACCTTTGCAAGGCCACATTGTTCCGGGGAGAGGACGCTGACACAGACCAACCCCAAGGCATCAACACTCAAAGAGCGCCCTGATTCAAGGAATGGTGCCGCCTGGCTCGCGCTACAAAACGCAACTCCTGAGGATTGAACTCCTACCTCTTGGAAGGCGATCTGTTGCAGGGCATTTCCGTCCCCATCCACAAAAGATTTAGGCGAAATCAAAAGCTTGACCGGGTCAATGTGTAGGGCTGGAGACTGCCTGGCATTGTTGGGACGCTTTTTCTTAGACTTTCCCTCAGGAACGGCAGAGCCAAACTTGCTGTTGGCCTTTGCAGCGATGTGCACCTCGAGTTCCTCAGCAAGCACCCAACGAAAGGATGTTCCAGGCCGAGTGGCAATTGCCTTGAGCTGCACCCAGGGATTCTTGTGCGCAAGTGCTTGCGCGATGGTCCCCGCTCCAATTTTAGCAATGGCCGCCTGAATTCTATCCCAAAGGTTCGCTTCCGGAACGCCCTTGGCTTGTAGCAGTGACCTTAGTGCTTGGCTTTGCTCTTGAGATAGCTCCCCTGCGCCACAAGCCCTTCCAGGGCTGCCCGCTGAGCGCATGAGGGCCGCGATCACCTCTTCAACATGCGGGCCTGGGCCGGCGACGCAAGCACAGAGATGGCGAAGCATGTTTGGGCCGCAGGCCTCTGTCTGGTCCTGAATAAACCATGTCTGCTCCTGAAAGTTAAGGGCAGAATAGCCAAGTAGGGAAGCAACAACACCTGCTAGGTGCGAGGCATAATCAATCAATCTATGGGGAATGCCATCCAGGTACAATGCTTCAAGGCTGCTTGGCTGGGTTTGCATGCACAGGCAAGCCCAGTGGCCATGGCAGCAGGAGGCGGCTGTAAGGCTGAAGGAAGCCTTGGAAGTTCCCAAAGGCACAAGCCTCTGTCGTGGACAGATTCGCCAGGCTTACAAGTGATGTGAGGGCAGTGCTGATGGCCTCGTCTGAGACTGTGTTGGGAACAGCCGGGTATACAGTCGGCGGACGAAGATCTACCACTGCGTCCCCCTCGAGTGGTGCAAAGATGCCGTCGCATGCAGCCGTGCCAAAAACGTGTGCAAAGCCGGCAGGCAAGGCCAGCTGCCTCAGTAAGTCAGCGATGGAAGATCCCCTGGTGCAAGTGTGGACTTGTGTGCCCGACTCTGTGAGCAATGCAACATGGCAGCTTGGAGTGAAGGACGCTGGTGCAGCAAGAACTCCCGGCTTCACACTCTGTTTTGGTGTAATACGCACCCTGTAACCGGTATTGGCATGCAGGAAAGCCTCAGGCGCAAGAAGACGTGTGCCGGCATAGATCCTGACTGAGAGGCCCGGTCCTACAATGCGACGGATTGCCTCCGTAACCTGTCCTACCCTTCCAGGGGCGTCCTGTGTCCGGCAGATGCAGTCCAGTAGCAAACTCAAGCTGAACACCTGCACACTCATAGAGGGAAGGAACTGGCCAAAGGTCATGGCGAGCATTGAGCAGGGACGCCTTGAAGGTCTGCAGGGCGAGGACCGGGTCAACAGGAGTCTCGTCTCCAAGAATTTCAGCAGACCAGCTCTGCAAAGTGGCAAAGACCCAGTGTGCCTGAAGCGGTGCACTGATGTTGCCAACTAGACACAAACCTGCACGGGCACCTTGCCTGAACCTAAAAACTGGGGAGAGGGTGTTGAGCAGGGCAGCTTCACACGGGTGGAGGAACCTAAGAACCCCTAGAGAACCAGAAGGAATCCCTATACCCCTAAGGCGGCCGGCCAGCAGGCGTTGTGGCGTGAGTCCGGCTGTTCTACACCCGCATGGACATGAACGAAGGGCGTTGCCCCACGAGTGCAATGCCGTGGGAGCTTGGGCTGCCCGGTCAAGGACTCGCATGTCCTGACCGAAGCGTGCATCGGACATCATGTCTGTCTCCTGGCTTGTCCACACGAGGTCTGCCTCATCTCTGGCATCCCAGACAGGCCACTCAGGGATAATGTCTCCAACAACTGGAGGACTAGGATCCGCAGGGTAAGGACACAGGCGACGTGCTGACATGCTGGGTGGGACAAGGCATGTCCACCATCTTCTGCGGCGTGAGGCCCAAATCGTCCCAAGTTCTAGAACTGTGCTGTGTAGCACCAGGCCGGCGCGAACAGCAAATTCACTTATGCGCAATTGAATGTTCTCATGCCCCATTATGTCCGATAGACATTCCAAAACAACACAAGCTGCCTGAAGTCTCCAGCCAATCTGCAAGATACTGTCCAGGACTTTGCTACGGTTGTCCAAGGCTCCAAGTTGCGATCCTTGCCTAGAATAGGGCTGGCAAGGTATGCCTGCTGTGACGGAGCAAGTGCAATCATCCTGATCAGCGACCTGATGGATCTGTAACTGAATCAAGGGGTCTGTGACATCACCTCTCAACGCCCGGCCTCCATTGTCCGCAACTGTATCAACTGCCAACTGGGAGTGATCAACATATAGCAACGTGTGTCCTGAAAGGCCTGCCAAGCCTTGTGACATGCCCCCAAGCCCAGAACATAGATCGACAATCGTGCGGAAAGATCTTGTCAAGGACTTCTTTGCAGCGAAGTAATGAGAGGATTCACTCTTCACCAGGACAGGCACCCCATCACAACATTCTTCAAGCACGAAATTGTAGAAAGTGTAACGCCCATCCTCCAAAGGGAGACCCTTCGCCACAAAAAGCTGGTCGTGCCACAAAGCTCGAAACTTGCCTTCTCTTGCCTCGATGACACCAGTCCACAAGGATCCGACCTGAAGGCCCTCAAAAGGGTGATCACCTAACATTGCAAGCTTCCGAGGGTTCAGTTGTTGTCGGCTCTACCGCTGGAAGGACCTCGGGCCAGAGCTGAACCATAAGCTTAGAGCCCCAAACCTGAAGCCCTAAGTCCTGAACCCTGAAACCTCAGCTGTATAAGTATAAACCCATCAGGAGAGTGACCACAGCCAGGTCCCCCGTGCCTCATATAATTCCCTAGATTAGCTTGGAACCCCATGTCGCGCCCTCCCAAACAGACTGTTGGGATTCTCTTGGTTGTATCAAGTTGTATCATGTTGTAGCATTTGGGGTGTATGCGGAGCCTTGTTCAGTAACAAGTCGTTTGAAGGCGGTGTAAGCTACCCGCAGCATGTTTTACCTGGTAACTTACGACATACAAGAAGTTGCTAGTAAGGACACGCTGAACTCTCTTGCCGTGGGCACTCTCGAGCTGACGACAGTCAAGAAACCTGGCTCAAGCTGATCTATACGTTTTTCCTCTGTGGTCCAAAAAAGCAGCGGGAATGTTTTCAGCTGACTTAAACGGGGACCTAAATTTAGGCGAGTGACCTGCTTGGGAGTTTTGTGCTATGAGGAGGAGATTGAGATGGAGGATTTGGTTCATTCTGAGGTAGACAGATCTGAAATTACAAAAAATCGATGTGGTTTTGGGGATTTGCTCTGGTTTGATCATTCAATGACGAGCCCATGCCTGCGTGCTAAGCCAAGGAATGCGTACTTTGGAGTGTCAGGAGGTCGTAGCTGGACATGGTGTGGCAGCGACTTTCACATTGTAACGCTTTTAGTCCTTTGTCACACGGTTGCAGGTATTCGAACTCTTAAGCCAAACCAGGCAGCATTAAGCTGCACGTGGTGAACGTTGAGTCCGGCCTGTTCATCGGCGGTTTTGCTTACCAAGACTACGCAACACTGGTGCAGGAATTGCCTCTGAGGTCTAGGGTTGTGAGTTTTTTGAGGTGGATTTGAATGCTACATGTTTAACAATGGCTATTGCCAAAAATCCCGTACGGTATTTCAACGCTGTTTTGAGACGTCGGGTGGGAGGACGTGGTCAGCGTTTTCCTCTCGCCCGACAACGAGAATTCAACTAGAATCTGCAGCCTTGTTGAGTCATGTTTCATTCTAGTTTGTTTAGATGCGCTGAGAGATGAAAAGGCTCATTGTTCATATTGCCCCAACAGTCCCGCCACGCAAACATCTCAGCAATGACGCAATGACCCAGGAATGGTACTGGAATGGTTCACGGCCTAGCGGCGTTTGGCCGGGGCTTCCACCCCACTTCAAGAGGCTATGATGGCCTTGTACCGATTGTTATTGAAACCTGAGAATTCCTGCAGCCCAGAACCTCTATGAGATTTTTTCAAGGCGACTCCTGACAAACAACTTCAGCAGTCCCTTGCTGATCTCAAGGATACTGAACCCACTCCAGGAAAAAAGGGAAGTCTTCATCCAGGGGCCTGAGATATTCGCTTCCCAGTTGAAGAGTAACTCCCATTCTGCTGGCCAAGGAAAGAGACATTGTAGCCTTGTCTTGCTATAAGACCCGCCGTAGCAAAGATATTAGAATGATAGGGTTTCCGGTTGAAGCATATTCTGACCTTCTCATGCATCGTGGATTCAGCTCCTCCACGTTACCTAGCATTGCCCAGTATTTGGCTGCACATGTGCAGGTGTTTAGGTGTTGAGTTTCATTGGTCTGCAGAAGGTTCAGTGTTCGTTTCAGGAAAAAAGGTTTGGGAGTATGGGTTTCAGGCTTAAAGTCGCAGTCGCCTCTGCGAGAGGGAGGGAAGAAGGAGAGTTGGTGCATTTCTGCGTCTTCTTTGTGCAGTTTTCTGTTCAAACATTTGTAACATGCCTGCCGTTCCGGTGGACTATTCCAAGCACTGCCGGGTTCGATAATTGAAGATTCATGATGGTGCCATCAATCATCTTACGATGCTTTGCAGCTCTCTTTGCATTGTCTGCCGCATGTATGTCGCTGCGAGTTCTTCTGGCATGGCTGCGTGGCAAAGATTTTGGCAGACATGTGGCTTGACTCGCAGCAATAAATATGTAGAACAGCCTGAGCCTTTGTGAACAAATTAGGCAAAGAATCCACTACTTCGAGTGCTGCGCCTGATCAAAAGCATTCGCGGCACATTCCAAGCAAAGGCTTTAATCGCCCCGCATTCATGTCAGTTCGCATTCAACAAATCGCACCTGAGAGAAGGGGTTCCTGCGCCATGTCCTTGCAATTTGTCGCATGCGTCCTTTCAAGCACCTGTGCCTGGGCGACCGAGTATCACTGGATCTACCAGCAGGGATCTTCTGCTGAAGATGCAATCAGATCTGCGACCAGTGACTCTGCAGGGGACATTGTTGGCAGCGGGTACACACTGGGAGATTTCTCAACAGCAAATGAAGGTCAACAAGACATAATTGTGGTCAAGGTCAGCAGCACAGGAGCATTGCTGTGGAGTGTGCAGAAAAGCACGGAATACGAAGAGCGCTCCTATGCTGTGAGCGTAGATTCTTCGGACAGCATCTTTGTTGCTGGTTACACATTTGGCGAGATGGACCTTGAGGCCAATGCTGGGACGTCAGATGCTCGTTTCGGTTATACCCACAACAGTATACGTTCAAGGCATCCAGCTACTCGATGCTAGCTGAACGAGTCTTTGCGGGTACCACTTAGCCGCGATGGAGGGTGAGTGAATCTTATGCTGTGTTTTGGTTCGCACCCCATTGCCTTTGTCAAAGCTAGTTAAGCCACGTTAAGCCGCTGAAGCAAGGATGTCTTGCTCGTGAAGTTCGATTCGGCTGGAACCCAACAGTGGACTGTCCAGAGAGGCTCGCCATTCTTTGAGAGCAGCCGCGGTATGGCCTTGGACGCTTCCGACCACCCAGCCTTTGGTCTCAGGTTCATGTAGCTGTAGCTTCCTGAAGCAACTCCTGCTCGGACTGTATTATATGTTACGCGACGCCACTTCATTGGCGCTCACACCACTACCTTTCAACAGTTCTAGCTCTTGTTCAGCAAGTGCCATTCCAGATTCAGGATGCAGCACACTTGGACCTCCAGAACAGCCAAAGAATTTGCCACACAATCCCTTCAGGGGGTGTTGAGGGCGCGAGGTAAGTTGTTTTGTTGCTGACTAAAGAGACTGAGGGAACAACTTGGCTCAACAAATGTGAGGGCCTCTTGAGGGAAGGTTCAAAGCTTTGATTAAGACACCGTAAGAAGCCAAGGTCTTGGTTGGCGACGCCTCCGGGGAAATTGACAGTCAAAGCTTTGCTGGGATGACTGACTTTCTAATCATGCGATTTGACAAAGACGGTGTGTGGCAATGGACCCGCACAAGGGGCTCCACGGATGCTGATCATGCCTTTTCGGTTGCAGTGGACTCTGCCGGCAACATAATTGTGACTGGGGAGACCTATGGTAGCATGGACAGCCAGAGCCATTCTGGAGGGGCTGATTTCGTTGTGGTGAAGTACGACAGCAGTGGAAACTGGCTCTGGACAAGTCAAAACGGCACAAGTGCCGACGAATATGCCAGAGTCGTGCAGGTGGATTCCAGTGACAATGCTTATGTTGCGGGCATTGCGACGGGCTCGTGGCCAGGCTATAGCCTTCACGGCTTAGCTGATGTTCTCCTAATGAAGCTCACGGGCGCAGGTGACTTCGCGTGGGCTATACAACGCGGATCCACTGCATATGACGAGGTGACCTCCATGGCCATTGCATCCCAGCATGTAGAAAGGTTCAGAAAAAGTCATACCACTTATGGGCCCGACATATATGGGTGCCGTACTGGAACTAGAACTGGTGCTGTACAAGAGAATGGCCAGTGTGGAAAGGCTTTGTTTTCTTCTACGTTGTCACGGCATTTACCGACTGCTTCCCCCCCACTTAGGATTCAGCAAGCAGCCAGATCTTCGTATGCGGCTACACCACTGGGGACTTGGATGGGCACGCCAACAGCGGACAGTTTGACATGTTCGTGATGCAGCCGCCGCCTCAGCACGTCCTGCTGACTCCCAATCCCTTCACCCTGGTACATGTCTGAGCCTGTACAGTAGTTGCACTGCCAGTATACACAGATCACAGATGACTTCTTGCTATCTTTCCCCCGCAGTCAACCACCTTAATTCTGCATTCCGAATACAATAGGCTGGCTCCATGTTTTTTCCCCGAGTCTGTAGAGATTCGATGTTGGCGGGAGGGGATGTCGAGCCAGAGATGCTGAGAGTGATAGCTGACAGGCTGATATGGAGCATGACCTCAGACTTTCAAATCACTGAGCGAATAGATGCGAAGAGTGAGAGTTCAGAGCGGGCATCCTTTTCCAGGTTCGACACTGATGGAGCTGCTCGGAGGGGATTAACGTCACTTCCCCAACCCCTTCCCTCTGAGAAATGGATAGGCTCTCCAAGTTCGTCTGCTGCTAGATGTGACATGTTCATCATGTTCGTTTGCGGTGATGACAGGGCTTGATTACTGTTTGAAGCAGGTGACTGATAGTCTGATAAATGAGAGTGGTCCAATATGCCTAGGCGGCTAGGCAATCCACAGCCATGGATGGTTTCCAAGACGCCTATATGTTCGCAAAGTTTCTTTGGCCAAAGCCCTTCACTGACCCCAAGCAACATGTTTATGGACAATACAAGGCATGGGTCCGAAGCATTGTCTACGGCGGCGCCCAACAAGATAGGACCTTTACCGCCCATCTGGACACCACAAATTCTCTTGTGGTCGGCGGTGACACGCAGGATTCATGGCCTGGATTCTCCAACGCCGGAGACCGGGACATCCTCATCATGAAGCTGCCCCTTACCGCAAGTACCACCAGTAGCAGCACCACTTCCAGCGTGAGCACTACCTCCTCCAGTTCCAGCATCTCCACCAGCATCTCCACCAGCATCTCCACCAGCATCTCCACCACCTCTTGCAGCATCACCACCTCCACGACCGCTTCCAGCACGACCTCCACCTCCACTTCCACAACAGCTTTCATGACAGGTTCCAGCAGCACCGCTTCTAGCACCTCCACAACTGCTTCCAGCGCCTCAGCCGCCACCACTTCCACGACATCTTGCAGCACCACCGCTACTACCACCTCCACAGCTTCCAGCGCCACAACCACCGCCACCACTTCCACAACATTTTCCAGCACTACCGCTACGACCACCTCCACAAGTGCTTCCAGCGTCACCACCTCCACCACCTCCACCACCACTTCCATGACATCTTCCATTACTGCTGCAATTACTACCTCCACAAGCACTTCCAGCACCACCTTCCCCACCACCCCCTCGTCCACTACTACACTCACGCATAGTGCCCCTTTCGATGCCAGCTTCTCCACGACCTCCACATACAGCGCAATTGCCACCACATCTGGCGACAGCGTTACAGCATCAAGTAGAGCAACACTAGCAACATCAACGAGCACCCTAACGTCATCAAGGACGTCAACGAGCTCGACTTTTACAACCACGAGAACCAGCTCGGTCACGGAGACGAAAAGAAGCGCTGCCGAAGCAGCCTCTCTTGCGCTGCAAAATTTTGAGATGAAGCAAAGTAGCTTGGCGCAGCGCACCTTGACCTTGGCGCTTACGTTGCCCGTGGTGGAAATTAGAGATGAAAATGCTGATGGCACCGTGTCCGTGGCGGCCGCAATCAACACGAACACAAGCAACACAAGTCAGCTCACGGTCACAGACAGTGACCTTGAAGTAACTTTGCCAAGTGCATTGGTTCTGGCTGCTGCCCAAGGTGCAGGAGTTGCTTCCGTGGTCGTCAGCCAATTCGGAGAATCCTCTGAGATCGTCGGGCTCCTGCAGAACGCAGCGTCAAGCGATGTGACAATGCGCAGCAAACCCGTTAGTATTGTCGTGATCAAGGCGGATGGCACGGAATGGAGTGGGACCCTGCCTGCACCACTTCAGCTGAGAATCTCCGCGAACACTACTCAAGCAGCGGGAGCGGCTGATGGCGCGTGCTCCTTCTGGGACCCGCAGATAGGCAGTTGGTCCTCACAAGGCCTTACGACTCTTACAGTAGCAGGCGATCATGTTCTCTGCGAAACTACGCACTTGTCCTTGTTCGCCTTTGTGATCAGGATCATCGAGGCAGCGTGAGATTTGATGCACATGTCGCAAGGGGGGCAAGGGAGTCCCTACTTCCTGATCTACGTTCCTATTTCGTACACCCAAGACCCGTCCCCCAGGCGGTGGTTCTTTGCTCTGCAGCTGCGGCGATCTTTTCTTTGGAGGCTGTCCAGAATCTCGCCCGTCCGCAGTGGGCCAGCTCATTTCCGGCAGCCTTCAATTGGGCGGCGCTGCTGGGCTAGGCTGTGCAGTACTCACTCGTTAGGGTAGGGTTGAAGACATGCTGTATGACGACATGCGGGGTACCTCGAAGTGCTTGAAGGTTGTTGCTAGAAGGGCGGAAACACGTAGAACAGGATTTTGGAGTACAATTTACAGATGTTTGCAGGGTTATACGTATGCTATGGATTAGCTCTGGTAAGATTTCGAGCGCGCAACACTGCTTCTTGTGCAGATCCTTGTGTTTTATCGTAAAGCGCTAAACGGTGTATGTTTTGGGTCCCTGGCAGTTTTTCATGAGGTTGGTGTTGGGAGTCGGCATGCTGGCTCTTTCCCTGCAATATGACAAACGTCACAGCGGCTACTTGGCAGAGCTGAAGGACGCAGAAGAGGTGGGAGAGTCTCAAGATGGGTGCTTGTACAGACCCCACCAGGACTACGCGAATAGTTTCCAGGAAGGATCTGGAGGATCTTAATTGGATTGTCTTGAGAACCCTCCAGGTCATCAAGGACAACAGCCGAGGAAATTTGCAGGCAAAGAGATGCAACCGAGATTGGCTAGCTCTGCTTGTAGAAGAGTACCGGCAGTACCGGTCATTCCTCATCAATGCAAGAAGGCTGCATCTGCCGCGCGCACTTTATTCCAAAATTGTCCAATACCACACAGGGAAGACTTTGAAAGACCTGGAATCGCTCCACTCTGTCGCTGGGCCTTTTCGAAGATTGTCCTGATGGGAACTGATTTTTCCAACAAGCCAAACCTTACACAGTTTTTTGAGGGCTTCTGGAAGTGTAGAGGTCGGAAGCTTGACCACTGCACACACCCGGGCTCTGGATTGTGTGGTACGGTTCAGTGGCCACAGCTGCATGGGAAGGTGGGTAAAGACCAAACTTGGGGTCCCAATTTTTAGCCCAGCAGGCTAAGTGCCGTAATGCCGGAAACTACCCAGGTTCTTCTTACTGTTCAGTTGCTGCAATGAGTGGGTGCTTACAATGGGGCCCTCCGACGTACACACTTGCGCCTTTCGCTGCCTCATGATCTCCTGCCAGCTCTACAGCAAGTGGGCGGTCCTGGCGTTGCTTTGCAACGTCCAGGCTGTAGCTGCCGGCCAGGGCCCAGACTGTGAAGGCTTGGACACCATTCCCGAGCTCCTGGTGCCTTGGGGAGTCTACAATACTGCAGTGATCTTTAATTTTTGCGTAGTGACAGAGATCAAGTAGTGGTTTTCAAGGTTGTAGGAACAGTGCAGGTGCGCTCTGCATTTCAGTCTGCCGTGTCTACCCTCTTGACCGCGCTCCCCTTGATTGTGCTTATGCTTTTAGCTCTGCCCGAGTCGTTTTGTTCGACCTTTTGGGCTGTGCTTCCTTTTTCACCTGCCGATAATAGTTTTCTTCCTGTGTCACTCAAAATCAAAGGCTTCCGGGCAGAAGCACCTTACCAGAAGCTGTCCGGCGCTTCGCAGCCGCAACAGTGGCTGCCCTGCAGTGTTTACTGAGCCAACTGTTGATCTGCATCTTTCTCTCCTCGGTGTCAAACATGGATTCGACACGTTGCTGGGATATTGTTAACGTTGAATCCGGAATGTGTAGCTCCACCCGGGGGCCAACAGCGCTTCAACCTACTTTTTGACATGTATACTGTATACATATTCAGCAACACATGAAACGCCAATCAGAACCACTGAAGAGCCCTATGCAGGTTGGTTCGCCGGTAGCCTACTTGGCATTTCCTGCTCTGTGCTGCTCGTGCCTGCCGTCACAGCTTGCGTTGGGGTCTTCCTACTCAGCAGACACTTGGCTGGTGTTGTGGGCAGTTTGGATTTTTTCACTTCGACATCTTGACGAGCAAGGGGTTTCGTGTACATATTGATACATGCATAAAACATGAATATGGGTATGTGTTTATATCTGTATATGTACATCTGTGCATAAATGACTATAGGAGCATGTATGTATGTATGTATGTATGTATGCATGCATGCATGCATGCATGCATGCATGCATGCATGCACGTATGTACGTATGTACGTA